ATAAATAACAGTGATAGACAACTGGACACTCCAATATTTGATTTAATGCCTGTTTTTTTCTGTGTTCAAAAAATTAAAATCTGCATTATTAGTAGGTTTGTTTGTTATTTACTGCTGTGACTTTGCAGGATTTCTGGTGGCGCCCAACTTATATTTGTTTATTGCAGATACATTTCAACCAATAAGTTAGAAATTGCACTACAGAAATGCAAAAGACTGCACTTACAATGTTATCAGTGTAGTTCACTATGGCTGCAACTAACAATCATTTTTATTGATTGTTATTACAGATAATTTTCTAAATTAATCGCTCTTCAAAAATGTCTTCAGGTTGCTTGTTTGATCCGACCAACAGTCCCAAACCTAAAGATATGTACTTTACTGTCACGAGACAAAGGGAAGCAGAACATTTCTTACATTTGTGAAGGTGAAACGAGGGTTGGTTGGACTGAAACAACTAATGTATGAGTTAATTAATCTTCAGTCTCAACAGTTCTGGGCTCTAATTTCTGGGTACTCCAGCTTTTTACCATATACTTACACTATAATTATGGTCAGAGGCAGAAATTACATATAAAAAGACCTGTCAAAACCTGAATGGCTTCCCTTTAGGGGGGGACCATTTAGTCTCAAATCTTACTGTATTATCAGACTAAGTACTCACAAGCATAGGAGTTGACATGTGATTGGCATAAACCATTCTTATGTGAGCATCCTTGAGCGGTGGTGCACCTGAATGGTCTATTAATAACAGTCAGGAACTAGGAGATTTAAATTACTTTCCACTAAGTAAAATGGTAATTTTCTGCTTCCTGTTCCCCATATATCGTCTGCAGTATCGTTAAAAGGATCAATAATCACTCAAACTAGGGTAAAGCAGCCAATTATCTCACCCTACAATAGTACAAAATCAGTCTTCATTATAGTGGAGTTGAATAAAGAACAAAGAGCACTGTTTTAACATTGTGTGCCTTCATGCTGCTGGCAACCCTGAATGGCCTTTAAAATACTATACTCTGATCTTACAGAATGAAACTAAACCAAGTCTGTACTTTGTAAAGAGGATATTTAAAAGTTACTGCTGTTAAAATGAGACGCAAATAAAGAGTTTTCCTGCTCAACAACATGGAGTTTTTGTTTCTGGTGTTTATATATATTGATTTATCTTTATTTTTCTGTCATGCATACAAATATACCCTGCACACTCACAACACAAATCGATATTTATATTTATATATATATTGATCCAGAATAAACTTGATGCAGTTGTTAATGACACAACAAAAAGTAATCAATACCATTTCTTATAACTTTTATTTAATTTATCAGATTTTTGTGTCTACAATAAAATTTAACCTACGAGATATATCAATGTAAAGACTATTTAAATTTTTTTTTAACAATCTCCTCAAGTTTGTTCGCTTGGTAACACTTTCCTTTAACGCCCGACCATATTTAGCGTTTATAAGCAGTATATATATACATATAATATGTAATAATACTATTACACCCCATAATGTAGCATTAATAAGTTTTAATTATCAAAATTCCCCCTAGGGATCAATTAAGTATTTCTGATTCTGATTCTGATTAATTAATCTATTTGTCAATTAACTCCTGTGGGCATTTATGAGCAAATGCTGCTGTATAATCAGACAATGAATGACATTATAGTAAAACACAGTTGTAATAATATAAAATATATCTTCATAAGAGAATTGTTGACACATACTGTAGATGAATAACACGGGTACTAAACTGTAACTACATTACAATGTGTTATAACCCATTGATTAAATGTTAATATGCTACCTTTAATTTAAAGACATCAAAATATTTGAGGGTTTTGTCAAGTCATTTTATTAAAAATTTAAACTTTTTGCATTTAAAAGGTAACAGAGGACAAAAACAGACTGAGACGAGACAAAGCAAGAGTAGTAACATGGCATTAAGAAAAGATTAGACGCAGTAAGAGTGATCCAGTGTGGTTACAGACAGAAGTGGTGGGGCTGTAAGTGAGATTTATGTAGTGTTAAATAAGGAAAAGGAAGAAAATAATGTAGGAATATCCACAGAAATTAACTTTTTGGTCAACAATGAAGAGACTTGTCTTCACCACCCAAAGTAATGATGATTTTAATAATTTTAAATTCAGTTATAAAAACTGGATGAAAGATGTAATGAAAGAAGCATAGAGAAGGCCTTGCATTCAGTACTCTGAGGCAGCGTTTGGCGGGAGCAACAACCATTCAACTGTGATGTTTCAGTAAGCAACACTGAGGCTCTCAGTCAATGTGAGGTTTGAAGGAGTCAGAATAGAAGCTGTTTAGGGAAAGGCCTGGCTTTGGTCAGCCTTAGTATCTGGCACATGTTTGTGCCAGACACAGTGTTGATTCTAACTGCCAAGGTAGCAAGTGACAATAAGACAATGAGATCATGTAGAGCACGTAAATGCATTTATTAGCTTGCAAGATGACGTTTTCTGCATCTAATGCTTATATTTATTGGTGTGTGACCACATGTTTAAGCATCCAATTTGTCTCAGCTTTGTGCTTTTCTTCAATCATAGCAGAGCGTTTGATATGTGAGCCTGAAAGCTCTTTTGTTTCTGTGAGTGGGTTACTGGGGATTGAGTAGCACAGCCTATTTGCTCCACTGTGAGGACTTTGTTGAACTTGTGGACCCCTACCTGTGAATGGATATGTTCCATTATTAGCTCCACTTTCATGTCCATGGTCTTTGTCAGCCCTCAGCTGATGCCATTACAGCTCCTGGTGTGTTCGATCAAGGCGACCATGACCACGTGAACGCTCAAACCAATTATGGCCCCTGGCAGCGGCTTACGATCAGGCTCATCTTGTGTAGAGGGATTTCTGTAAATTGGATCAGGCTGCTTACAGGGGCTTAGCATGACGTATGGCAACTTTGAGTTTAATCATGACGATCCTCGCAATCCTCCACCTCTCCAGGAGAACGGAACACCACGATTAGCCTCACCTGTGTGTTAAGGAGGAAAAACTGGTAAAAAAGTAGGGAGAAAATACGTTTTTAAGACATTTTTAAGTTTCTGTCACCATGGGAGAGGAGATAGCTTTGGAGGAATAACACTCCTGTGCTGCTCGCGGGTCCTCCTGGGTTCTTCATCTCTGCTCTTTTGCTGTGGGATGGATTACAGGCTGAGCTGACTCTCCTGTCCTGTTGGACCAGCCAAAGGAGACCCTGATAGCAAAGAGACTGGGAAACAAGGAACTGCAGGTTGGCGCATTCAAGAAATTGTATCTAACTAAGGGGCTTTCTGGAGATCTTGGAGCTCCTGCTGTTCTAGCTCATAATTTGACTCTCTTTTTCACAGGCTAGGACACTTCACAGGTTGAACCATGGCTTTGATGTTGGTCAAGTTTGATCTGAAGAAGCGAGTAAAGCTCGCTCAGACTGTCTGGTTCATGTACTGGTTCGCAGTAATGGCCGGCGTGCTGGTTTTCAGCATGGGCCTGTTCTTTAAGATCGAGCTGCGAAAGCGCTCAGAACTTATGGACAACAACGAGAGCCACTTCTTGCCCAACCTGCTTATACTTATGGGTCTAATAGCCTGCGGCATCAACGCCTTGGGAGGCAAAATCTGCTACGACTCACTGGACCCTTCCAAGTTTGTCAAATGGAAGGCCATGTTGAAGACCTTCTTGATGGTCTGCATAGGATTCAACGTCCTGCTGTTCGTGACGGGCCTGCTGTGTTTCATGATGAGGATCCCTCTGCAGTTCACCCTGGCCGAGGGGCTGAGGAACGGTATGAAGTTCTACAAGGACACGGACACGCCTGGACGCTGCTACATGAAGAGGACCCTGGACCTGATGCAGATGGAGTTTCGCTGCTGCGGAAATGACAACTACAGAGATTGGTTTGAGATTCAGTGGGTTAGCAACCGCTACCTGGACTTCAGCGCAAAGGAAGTCAAAGAGTAAGTGACAAGGATTTAAATCGCTCATGATAACCTTTAAAAGTTACAGATCATTAATGTGGGATGTGAATTAACGGTGGCTCAATGAGATTGTCATTGAATGTGAGAGTACGAAGGTGGCTTTAGGGGTCGTCAAAGTTAGAGTTCAGTCAAATAAGTGGATTTGAAGGTGGGTCAGTGCAGGTGTATTCACTTTTTTCCACTAAGGATTACGTAACAGAAATGGTGACAGCTATAAGTGGCAATGGGGATGCTGCACTGGGGGCTGCAAGGGCGGGAAGAGGTTACTAGGCAGTTTTAAGGATGAGGTTGGGAGGAGGGGCTTTGGTGATTAGGTACAGAAAAAGATACATGAGGTCAAAAAGGCACGAGAGAGATTAAAATGAAACCTCTCCTAGTGATATGTAGCCTCTTTGTGACAACTTGTTTATATCTACACTGACTGTAGGCAACAAGTAGTAGTTGTAGTTTTGTGAGGACAATTGGGAGGTGGACAGATTTGAGCGTTGGTGCATAATTAGTGTTTAATCTTAAGGATTACAGTGTACATGTCCTTCAAGAATCAGTGTCTCGTCCAATCAGCAGGGGACCTGGCAATGCTCCAAGGACAGCACTGTCTGATAAAACAATTTGTAGCTAAAATGAGTATAAACAAAATAATAACAGACAGAAACATGGGGAGGTGATTGGTGAGAACTGTTGTGATGCCATTACAGGGCTAGGAAAGTAATCATGGAAGAGGAACCGTTAAATGTTAAAGTTTCAAAGATTCACATTCTCTCCACACTTTCTTCCTACCCCATGTATCTTTCTCTATACAGTGTATTAATACCTGCATGTGCTGTAATATATATATATATATTGTAGTTATGTATTGGGCTTGATTAGGTGTTGATGTTCCTAGAAATCACTTATGCATATCTGACCTTCTTTGTGATCCAATTACGCTCGTCTTTCCATTGACCTACTACTATCAATCACAGTTGAACACTGACACAAATAAGCTCATTTGGTGCATATTTTCATGTTTTTTAACCTGAAAATATTGATGTATTGATTTAAATATTGATTTACATTTTTAAAGTTTATAAATTAATATTTTTGAAAATTAGATTTCACATTTATTGTACTTGTATTGTATCATGTTATGAATGTGTAAGTGGTTATTGACTGATGATTGTACACCAGTGACAGGTGGTAAACACAACAAAAATCAGAACAAGAATTTTCACAATGAAAGAAATAGAAACAATCAGCTCTCTAAAATGTTCAATATATGTTGATTCAATACTTTTTATTGTTGTGGCAGTTGTGGAGTGGGTAATATTATATATAAGTATAACACCAGTAACTATGTTCTCAAAAACCTTCTTCCTATGTTTATTAGCAGAATTTAATTGAATTCGATTGTATTCAGTAACTGAAAAGATACTAAAATATTCTTTAACAATTCATCACACCTTATAGTTATTTTGGTAGACCACAATCTGACATAGCTAATTTTAGCCCACCCACACTACAAATGTAGTATGGTAAGTTCCTGACCTTTAATCTCTCCAACTCATCATAACATGACACTAACTTGACACCTTGCCTTATCCTCTTAGCCGCATTGGCAGCAACGTGGATGGCCAGTATCTGATGGATGGAGTCCCGTTCAGCTGCTGCAACCCCAGCTCCCCCAGACCCTGCATCCAGTTCCAGATGACCAATAACACTGCCCACTACAGCTACGACCATTACACAGAGGAGCTCAACGTGTGGAAGCGCGGCTGCCGTGAAGCCCTGCTGTCCTACTACGGAGGCCTGATGAACACCATCGGAGCCATGGTGGTTCTGGTCACTCTGCTGGAGGTCAGGGCCAGAGATGCATCAACACCAGTACACAAATAATGCCCAGAAATGTGATCATTTTACACCGCACTTCAAACTGTTTAGGTAAAAAATAATGTTTGCTACACCTTGGTAAGTTTCAGTACCTAACAGCCTTGATAGGCTTGCTGTCCATTCATGGATCCATGGATCCATCAACAAACCTAAATTAGCCAAACTAACCAGTTATCCTTAAAGTCTTTTCTCTTGTAAAACTAAAACACTTATAATAAAACATAAATCTCACATTTATGTCGCTTGTCCAGGGCTAACCCAAGTTTTCTAGTGTCTTCTTCCCCTCATTCCCTAAAGGGCTTATGGGCTGGAAAATGTCCACACTTTACAGCTGGTGAGAGCAGCAGTTGTAGTGTGTGTTCTTTCCACCGACAGCCACAAGGGGCAACAATGAGCCTATTCCACACAGAAAAACAAGCTTTGTCAAGTGACACAAAGGTGAGATTTACACTTCATCTGAAGTGTTTTCAAACAGTATTGTTTGGGTTTGGAAGAGAAAATATGAGAATGAACTTGGCAAATGCACGTCTGCTTGATTTACAAACCTTTAATAAAGAAAAGCCGTGCACAGAAATTCCGTGAGCTTTTCTATGCAACCATCCAGGACCACACAATGAATGAGACAGTATGAAAGGTGACATTTAAAGGATTTGTTTTAAGACATATAAAACACACAGAAATACTCAGCTATCAATATATTTTCACGTATGTTTTTTGCATAAAAAAAGGTAAATTACCTTGTTAAAAACTCTTTAAATGATTCATATATATAATTAAAAGTTAATAGTTTAACTGCTGGAAACATTTTTGATGATATTTCAGTGAAAAGTCAATTATCAGTGTATGCCCCTTCTGTAGATGGATGTAAAAACAGCCTGTGTCAGAATAAAGCAAACATTTCTGGGTGGAGCGATACTTCAGGGAGAGCTCAGTAAACTTTGGCTGAGAGTCAGGTGTGTGTGGACTCGGATGGCCTCGTAGAGACGAGTGAGGTGAAGAACCTGTGTATAAACATGCAAAGCCTTGACCCAGTTGGCATTTCCTTGCACTCCGCCCCCGCAATCATCTATACTTCCAAAGTGCATCTCTTTCCAAAACAACTCTGTCCTCTTTACCTAAATATCACTCCTGCTGCTCTACCGTCAGGTTATCCTGCACCACCTTTTGGTGTGTACATATGTGCCGATTACCTATAATATCACACCTGGTACTTTCTACCCAAACTGTAATCCTGTAGCAGCCAAATGGCATCTCACCTCTCTCTCTCCACCTGCCAACATCTGTTGTTGTTGTTGTTGAATCTGCCCGCTACTACACAGAACAGCAACAAACACGAAGAGAGCAAATGTAGAGACGAATCCTTGAAGTCATAGCCGACAGCAGACCATTTGGATCACACCTCTTTCCCAGAAATTCAGCAGACAAACCCTTGATCTAAAAACATGGATTTAGGCAATTTTGCATGGAAGCTGATCAGACACGCAGTCGGAGGAATCCCAGATTTAAGAGTAGTTGTGTAAGAGTGTCATGCTGACACAAATAGTGGGGACAGAGATAGAGTAATGGGTTAATCTAGTGGAGGTGGCAAGGTTAGACCCACTTCCTTGGGGATTGAGCTCTCAATCTGATCTGTAGTCACCATTTACAATTTTAAATTACTTCTTAACATTTCTAATGATAGAGTAGAACTTTTTTTATATTTATAATTTTTTCACAAGTGTATCCAATGTCTTGTTTTGTCTGACCAACAGTCTAAAATCCAAATATGTGTAATTTACTATAATGTAAGATCATTAAAAGTAGATAATGTATACAAGTGAGAAGCTGGAATCAAAACATGTTTGGTATTTTTACATGAAAAGTGACTTAAATGATTAATAGATTATGAAAATAGTTGCCAATTCCTTTTGTCAGTTTTATTGATGATAATCTTGATGATGATGTTCCTTGAGTCAGAAATTCGATTACTTTAAACACAAGTTTAGTGGGTTTGTGTATGAAGTTATTCTTTTGTTATTCTCGTGTATTTGTTCTTGGTGACCCCTAGAGTGTTCTTCTTCTATTATTATATGGTATGGTTACAAACAAGACTTTAAAACACATTTTCAGTGATCATTCCTGCTCATCAAAAGACGATACTGGGATTTCTGGGGCGGCCCAGGTTCAGGTTTAATATATTTTGATATGTGTTCCTGTCCACTGCAGTGTGCTGTGACCATAGGCCTGCAGTACGTGAACAGCTCCCAGTCCACCCTGGCTAACCCGGAGGACCCGGAGAGCGAGAGCGAGGGCTGGATCCTGGAGAAGACAGTGAAGGAGACGTTCACCGACATCATGGACAAAATGAAGGCGATGGGCAAAGGCAGTAAGGTGGAGGAGGGGGGTGAGGCAGCGGTTGCCACGGTGAGCTGAGCTAACCCCTCCTGCAAAAAACTGACACAACTCCCACCTGAAGAGGAGAGGAAGGGGACGTGTGAGATTTTTATACCAACATTTATGATGTAGACCTACACACACACACACACACACACACACATATTTGGCTATGAACTCCTTACAAATGGACTCCTTACAAATGGACTCCTTTCATAAATATTTATAAACTGTATGTTCATACATAGAAAGAGATAATGAGTAGGATGTTATGGTTTTTCATTTTGGTCCCCCCCCTCCCCGACCAAACTAATCCATCTCAGGCTCCAAGTTTGCTTCACAGCATACATTTAAAGACATTTACTGTTTTGGTTTCCAACACTGTGGGTTTGGATTTGTGTTATTTCAAAAAAAAAGGGCAAAATAAAAAAGTCAAGTAAATATGATATGTGATTGATGAAGGTCAGATGCTTTGCAATCACAAGTAAATATGTAATTTTTCCTTTGTATTGTTGTCAGATAGATTGGTGGGGATGGTGGTTGCTATGCAACCTCCCCTCTCATGGAGATGCAGATGGAAGATTTATTTTTGTTGACATGTCTATAGTGCTTTTGGCTCGTAGCTCATACTGTATACAGACAAATCAAACAAATTAACCCCCCCCCCACTCAGCTCTTTTTATACTCCAGTCCACCTTTGTCCACAATGAAGACTGGATAAGCTCCTGAGATGGAGTAAAATTTTGAATTGAATGAATCAGTATGAATTATGCATGCATGTTGCAGCACATGGTCGAAGAGTGAGGCATGGGAACTGGGATGTGAGCCCTGGAGAGAAGCAGGGCCAACTCCAAACCTGTGGAGGACGACTGAAATTGGCAGCTAAATCTTGGCTCCCGACCCCTGTACTGTAATCTCAGATCCTCTTTGATGTTTCCCGTGTGCATTCAGTATCTGTATATTGACAGAAATGTGTGTATATTCTAACAACTGGGTTGCTGTCTTTGTACATAGTGTAGAAATGATGAAAAAAATTTAACTTTTTTAACAAATACTATAATTAAGCTAAATCTTTTATTTAAATCCATGTAAAGTTTTCCATATGATCTTTTTTTTGGCTTTGTGTGTCTGTGTAGAAGAGGAGATAATGCTGATTCGTGTATACGAATAAAAGATTTTAGAGATGTAATTTGACAGTGAAATCAGGATGTTGTGTTGTCCTGACCTTGAGTCACACAGACCTGAGATCAGGAGGCAAGGCATGCTGTGTGTGCCGCAGGGTTCCTGATTAAGTCAATAGGATAAGGGCAATTATGGCATTACTGCTTTCACATGGACATGGGTTGACTCTTCACATGTCCAATGCAAGGACATGAGTGAGTGTGTGTGTCTCACACACATATTTGCAAGTAACTTTTTCAGGTAAAAGTTCCTCTGGAGTTGGATTTTATTTTTTTAAATAGACCTTTTTCACAGCAGCCAACAAACACAGGAGTTACAAATTATGCTTGTTAAAGTTCTGATTCTGTTCTGTGTAGCAGAACCTTTCCAGTGAACCAGCATGCACAATAACAGAACCCCGACTATGTCTGACATGAACGGAGCCTTAATTAGCATCATCATTAATATGCCCAACTATTTCATGTCAAATGTCTGCTGTAAAAAGGGCCTATTGATTTTTGTTTGATTTCTTTGTGGCTTAAATCAGCTCCAGGTTGAGCTTTGACTTGGATGTAAATAACACGTCCTTTGATCCCTTCAGCCCACATAGATAAATAGCAACTCGTAAGATACTGTGTAACCATTATCTTAAAACACAGTCTTCTATAAAAACATGTAGATCTGAACTAAAATCCATGTATTCTGCGAACCCCCGACATGAGGAATGAGTAGATATGATATAAAAGCCAGTGTGGCTTGGTGGGGCGGGGGCTGTAAAGAGTCAGCAGGAACAGTAAAGAGGCCAACTCTGCACGGTATTTTTGTTGGACCAAAGCACATAACCAGCGCTGAGTAGATAAGAAGCCTAATCGGCTTTAGATTAGCATGAGCCCCTCAACCAGGTGAGCAGGTGATGTCCTACTCCAGGACTCACGTCATGGAGTCAGAGAGACTGAGATAGGAAGACAAACAAGAGAAAGTAGTGATCTGACTACAAAAACAGGCTGGCTTTAAGTAAAATAAGGAATTACTGAAGAGATTTTTCACAACAAAACTATGTGTAATATGTACAAACAGGGGTGGAAGACGTAATCAGATAAAGTGTCAATGTGCTCCATTATCAGTGAAAGTCCTGCATTAAAAATCTCACTTAAGAAAATGTATTTCCCAGAAAATAAACTACCAAAAGTAAAAGTATTCATTATGCAGCAGAATGGCAGAATCTGTAGATATTAAATATGGTTATAAAATAAATTAATGTAGGTACAACATTTCCCTCCTAATTAGAAATATAATGTAGCATAAAATAAGTGCTTCAAAATTGTACTTGAGTAGACGTACTTAGTTACGTTCCACCACTGCATACCTTAGTACCTTAGACTCACTGCAACAAATGAGTAGTAGAGTGTTTTTAAATCTTGTGGCTTTTACAGGTTAAGTTGAACAACTTGAGGTAAACAGAGTCAAATATGTCCCAAATATATTAAATATCAGTCCAAAATGTCAGCTAATGGCCACTTTAATCCGTGATGGAAGAAGTATTGAAAACATTCACTGAAGTAAGGGTTCAAAATTATTAGCAAGAGAATATACTTTAAGGTAAACTCATTATGCAGAATGGCCTATTTCATACATTAAACGTATATTATATTATTGAAATATAATTATTGATGCACTAATATGTACATCACCATTTTATTTACTCCTTGGTTAGATGTATTTCCCCCCAATGACCAATAAAAAAAGTACAATAATTCCCTCTGAAATGAAGTGGAGTAAAAGTATAAAGTAGCAGAAAATGGAAGTACTCTGATGTACTTCTGGTAGGCAAAGTTCCTTGTTTTTATGTCTAAAGAACTCTTAATGCATGACAGAACAACCAAATACAGTCAGAGCTACTTTTATTTGATAGTAATACACAAAATAACTAAATAAAGCCTCACATCTGATGTTCTTTCCAAACAATTCTTACTGACCTAAAGACAGCACACTGTGGCTACTCACACAAAGCCAACATTTATTAACTGTCCTGCCAGAAGCACAAACAAGCTGCAGGCCGCTCCCTGTGTGTCGTCTGTATTCTGCTGCTCTCTGTTGGCGACTGCAGGTAATAAGATAAGATAAAATCATACTGACTGAGTGTGAATCTAATCCATTAAAGATCTCCAGCAGTAATCTGATATACAGTTAGGTTTCCAGCTGACTCGCATTCTCTTCTACGACGGTTTGATCTGTGATTTCACCGACACTCCCACTATCTTTGCTGATTGCGTGCAGTCAGCTTTAATACTCTTGCCTTCTTATTTTGGATCCAAATGTCTCTCAAACTTCCTCTGTGTCACTGACAAATTTGCTGGCACGCATCAACACTTTGGGCGTCTGACAAGTTTCAGTTACATTAAAAGTCCACAAGAGGGTGTCTTTCCATCACTGGCCTCCCCATTGCTGAAAAACCTTAAAGGGTGAAGAGAATGTGAAGCAACTATAAAGTCCCTTTATATGTAATGATGTTAACGTCTTAATAAGACCCATTTTACTGGTAACGATGATAGCTAAAACCAGAAGATTTTGGAGAAAACTAAAATGGATTAAGGCTGGAAATAATAATTATGTGTTGATTACTTTTCTGTTCAATAGATTAACTGTTTATAAAAGTGACTAATGTCATGTTTCTATTCAGTTTTGCTGTTTTGTGCAATTAAACATACCAAAACACAAAGATATTCAATTTATAATGATACAAAACATGTATAATGCAATGATTATATTTCATTTTCATTCAATTTAATGAATAAATCTTAACAGTATACAAGCTCTTACCTACTCGTAGGTAACATTAGGACTTCCACTAACAATTATTTTCATTACTTATTAAAGTGTGGAATATTTTTTGATAATAATGTATTCTTAAAATGTCATAAAGTAGTGAAAAATGACTAATTTTCAGTTAATCTGACAACTGTTACCCTGATTAATCGATTAACTGTCCGACCTATAAAACTGTGAAAATCAACAACAGTCTAAAGCCAGTTTAAAATGATACAAAACAGATCCTCATATTTGGTAATCCTGAACCAGTGTTTCCCTTTTGGGGGGCTTGATAAGTTACTTAAAACATTTAATCTATTAATAAAATTGTTGCTGATTCATTTTCTGTCAATCAACTAATTGTTGCAGCTCTGAAAAAGACCATCACGAGTTCTCAGAGCCGAAGGTGACGTCTTCAAATTGCCTGTTTTGTCCGACCAACAGTTCAAACCCCCAAAATATTACATTTGCAATGATTTATTTGAGAAGCTAAAACCAGTGAATGTTTGTCACTTATTTTTTAAAAACATTTAATTGATTATCACAATAGTTGAAGATTACCAAACTCTTGATTAACAAAATGTTAAATTACAATGATTTAAAACAGAGAAAAGCAACAAATCCTCACATTTGAGAAGCTAAAAACAGAGAATGTTTGTCACTTTTATTTAATACATGATTTAAATGATGAATTGATTCATTAGTTTTTGTCAGTAGACCACTCAATTAAATCTAATTAGATCATATAGGAGATTTATTAAAACAGCTATGCATCCAGAATGTGACTAATTAACAGATCTGAACCATTAAAGGAGCACAGTGATGAATATATGCATATTTGAGGCATTTATTAAGGATTTAAAGTGATAATGAACATGTGAGGTGTGACGTCTTGACAGTGAAACGATGACTGACCCGTGCTCTAATATTAAAACGGAGGTTACCGGGTTGACCTTGAAGTTTCAGGCAAAGGTCAGGGACAATTCTGCGTATCACATCTCACTCTGCACTTCACTGTGGGCTGAATAAATATGGCAGACAGAAAGAAAAGCAGAGACAGAGGCAGAGAGAGGCCCGTGACTGGTAGATGTGTGGCCTGCTCAGAGGGGCATTGTTGGAGCTATGAGAGGACAATGCACTGCCCCCGCCCTGAATACTCGCCATACCAGCTGACCAGCCATTACCAACACTGCTGCCCCATTACAATTCCTGCTGCTCTGACACACACATACACACA